AACAACAACAACAACAAACAAGCCTTTATCCCACTACGTGGGGTCGGCTACATGAATCCTTTCTCTCCATTGTGTTCTATTAAAAGTCAAATTCTCGTTTAAACCAAATAAAGAAAGGTCCTTCCTAATATTTTCTAATCAAGTCTTTTTAGGTCTACCCCTACCTTTCTTAACATAAGTCAAATCTAATACCTCTACTCTCCTAACCGGGTCATTGAAAGGCCGCCGTTTTATGTGACCAAACCATCTAAGGCGACTCTCTCTAATCTTATCTTCTACTGGAGCTACTCCAACCTTTTCACGTATATGCTCATTTCGTATCCTATCTCTAAGGGTAAAGCCACTCATCCACCTGAGCATTCTCATCTCTGCCACATTTAACTTAGTATTATGCTTCTCTTTTAATGGCCAACATTCGGCACCATAAGAAGAAATAAGAAAGACAGAACCACGAACCCGGATGCTTCCAATGTTGGTGGGTGATTCGTTTTCCCTCTCTTAGGGATTTCTCTAAAGCTTTCAAAACTCTCACATCAATAGAACAATATGCAAGAATTTTCTTTCATTATCATCATTTACCCTCAAAGTAGGAGGGGAAGGCTTTAAATAGCCAATACAAAGTGGCAAATAAAGAGTATTAATATCCTAGGGCTTAAACATGTCTAAACCCTTAAGGGAAAAAGTGGAAAAGACATAATAAAATTCATAAATAAAACTAATACATCAATAATAAAAATGAACATCAAAAGTTGAGCGGCGCGATCATAGCCGTAGATCAACGACCATGCCTCTGATAGATTTTCCAAGGCTGGATGTCCTCATCATTAATCTATTTATATCATATTATAATTGTTTCTTAATCACTAACATATTTTATTTATTGTTTGAAACTCTATTCTTTCACACGCTTGGTTGGTTGGGCATTACTTGTTTCTAGAAGTTTGCATGTTGGAGAATTCACAATATAATTTTGCTAATTCTTTTGTTCTTTAGGAACTCTATCACGAGCTACATGCTTTGGATAGATTTAGCCAAGAATATCGCCGGAAACTCCAAGAAGAAGAAAATTCAGCTCCAATTCAGAAAGGTCTGTGGCTCTATTATATGGCTTTAGAAACCCATATTGGGATTATAGCGTTTCTTTTATGATTTACTAAACTGTTTTTGATTTACTGAAGTGATATTATGGTTAGCGTGGTTACTGTTGGTTAAATCTAACAACCTACCCACAAATTTCTAGTTCGAGACTTCAAAATTAGGATCTTGTTTTCTCGAGTACTCGAACATCTACTGGACACCAATTGTTTTTGATTAATTCTGAAGTTCGGTCACACTTTCCAAGGCTAAGTAGCCCAATCTTATTAGTTTTCTATTATGATTTATAAATATTTAAAAAATTAAGATGCATAATTATCCAATAGGCAAGAAAAAATATATCTATTCATCATACTTTGGAGCTACCAATCTCAAATAACTTTGATAAGGCTAATGTTTGAAAATGTTTGTAAATTTCCAAGTTCCTCCTACTATGATATATTTCATATTTAGAAAGCCAACTGCAACTTCTTTTCTATCATTTAGCATTTAACCTATGGATATAGATGTACCATTTGGCACAAGTTCAAACACCACGTGTACAAATCAAATGAAACGTGTCATTGACATATGATGCCAAGCTTCATGTGGACATCCCATAAATAGAACGCTTGATATATATAAAATAGAAATGCATTTTTTTGAAATTAGGTACAAATAGAATCTATACTTAGGTACCTGTAAGGTGTAAGCGTGTAACCAAGAACTGGCCTAGATTTTGGTTTTTAAAGTTTTGGGTTCAGAAATGCAGAATCAAGCTAAATTTTTAAAATTTTTGGGATTGAATTCAAGCAGATAGCGTATTAGTTGTGACAATGGGTATTTGTTGGCCTAAGAGAACCCCTTTTTTTACAGATATTAAATAGTTATACTATTTTCAGCTAGTTTGGTGGGTCTAGCCTAGTTTGGAGAGTGTTTTTTGTCATAGATGCTCTCTGGACAAAATGTACAAAGAAAAGTAAGGAAAAAGGCCATGCAATAACAAAATAGTTGGTAAATCATAATCCTGAGCAGAAGCCTGAGCGCCTTCTTGATCCCAGTTGTCTAAAAGTTTGGTCGATGCAAACAGTTAAGGATCAAATTATCAAAATGGACCGAACCTTACACTATAACTGCTATTAATCGAGCTTAGATTTAGAAAAAAATAAAGAGCTATCCCAATATTGAAATATTTATGAGTTATATACTATCTTTTGTCTCAATTTTGATCCCTAATTTTACGCTTTTTACTAGATTTGTTTATTTTTAAATATTTTTTCTTATTATTTTGTCATTGGAATATGATTGGCCAAAATTTTGAAACTTGGATTAAGTTGTTTTCCCACTCTAAAACACATTAGTGTTAACCAAGCTTGTCCTGGCTAAGAAGTGATTTAGATTTGAGTTGTGAGAGCATTTTAATTATGGGCTTGGTCATGCCTGGTCAAGGTAAGAAATATTCAGCCTGAATTGTTCTTCCGTAAAGCCAAACTTGTCTATGCACTATTTTACTTCTGTCATCAAGCACTATAGCAATATTTTAAACAAGTATTATAATGCCAACACCCTGCTCCAGGTTTCTTGTTTGGTACATGAAACAGTTATTTCAGACCAAATTCAAGATGCCCCCTAACCCTAGCAAGAAAAATTACTTAAAGAAGAATATAATAAAGAAATCTCTAAACAGCTCTTAATTTTGAATTTTTCCCTCCAAAACCTTCACTAATTACAGCCATTAATCTCTATTAAACTAGTTGGGCCCCACCAAGCCATTTGCCCCCTTATTGGGCAGGATTTCTATTCCGCCTAGAATAGAACTGAACTAGTTCAAGTTGGACCGTTCAGCTGGTCCCTGGACCAACCTAACAATATCCCCCTCCCAAAAAACTCACCTTGTCATTGAGGTGAAATGATAGGAATTGGTGTTTCACCCTCTCGTATGGCTCCCAGGTAGCATCATAGTCAAATAGATTCTTCCATCAATCAACACTTTCTTAATCCCCCTTCTCCTTGCCTTTCCCCTTTAAGCTGCAAGGGACCAACCCCAATACACAAACTAGTATGCTTGGATTGATGTACCAACCCCAGCACAGACTAGTATGCTTGGATTGATGTTTATAATGGTTGGTCCTTCTATATTACACAAAGGTGGTAGGATGACATTATTATTCTTTTTGATCTTATTACACAGTGAATTATATATATATATATATATATATATATATATGGCTATTATGCTGTTGGGAATTGTTATTTGCCAAACATCTCTTTCAATTCTTTGCAGTTGACAATCTTCAGATTCTTAGGCAAGAACTGAAAAGCCAAGAGAAACATGTGAAAAGCTTAAAAAAGAAATCATTATGGTCTACGAACTTGGAAGAGGTCAGTTAATGGATTCTTTTATATGTCAAATTTAGCATTTCTATAGTCCATTTTAATAGTAGTCATTATCTGACTCTACCCTGGTTGTCCTTTTACTCTTTCTCTCTCCCCCTCCCCTACCCCAAACGAATTCTGTCTCAATGTACACCACAAGCACTTATAAGTTTATGCATATGATTTGGATACTATTTTTCTTGAATGACTTGTATCTTCTTAACAAACTGTACTATTTAGTATCTACTCCTTTTCAGGTCATGGAGAAGCTTGTCGAAATTGTCCATTTCTTGCATTTTGAGATTCATGAAGTCTTTGTAAATGCTGGTATTTCTTCTGTGTACTGATAGTGCTATTAAGTTATTTAATTATACTTTTTACACCTGCTTATGTTAATGCGTTATCCCATTTTAACTAGTATTGATATTAGTATCACTTGTGATGAAAGAAAACGAAAGAAAATTTGAAAATTCACCACCTGCACATGGATTCCTTTCATAGAAACATAAACCGTGTTTGTGTTGCTAACACTTGTCAAATTCTTGCTGCTATAGTAAAGGAGATGCTCCATTGTAGAATTTTTAGTCATTTGTGTGCCAGTTCTTACTTAGAAAACTTGAAGAAACCCTAAATATGCCCGACTCATTAAAATACTTCCGCATTCTTCGTTCTTAGCTATGACTTCCTATGATAGTTCTGCTGATAATTTATTTTCTTGTCTTTTTTTGTCATGAATTGTGTATGGGAATAAAGCTGCGTCAGGATCTTACAATGGTCATCAGAGACTGGGTCCAACTGGCCTTGCGTTGCACTATGCAAATGTAATCAATCAGATTGACACCATTGTAAGTTTTTTTTTTCCTTTCATCTTATACAACCCAAAATTTGGACAATTTATGTTAATCCTTCTCCTTTTTATTTAACTTAGGTATTACAACCTAGTTTATGTGTTTGAATTAAGAAATGTAAATGTCTAAATCATTTGGATTAAAATTCTTGCTGGATTCTGTGATGAGGTTGAGGAAAGATGTATGTCTTGGTGTATTGAAATCATCGGGGGGATGTAAGGTGGAATTGTGGGCAATATTAGTTGTAGTTATGGGATGGATATAGAGTTTCTACTTTCTAGTATCCTATTCATATTATAAATAGATTTTTTATAATAGAATCTATGAAGCAAGCATCTATTACCTACATAGATGTCTGTTTGCTAAACCATTTGCCAAATCAGATTTAGAATATTAAAAAGAATATCTGGCATGTTTATTATTTTTTTATGCATATTCTTCTAAAACTATGATGTAATTTGCAATTATACGCTCATTCTAATTTTGCATTAGTGTGTAAACATTAATGAGTTGTTAACTTGTTGTACTTGTACAACAAAACAAAGCAAGAAACACTCTAATTTATATGGAAAACCTTAGGGGACAAAAAATTACGTGTTAAGAGAAGAATTTACCATAACAAAAACTAGAGGAGAGTGACCGCTCACATAATAGAACCATGAAATCCTTATTACATGTATATATGATACGGAGGCAGTAGCCCCAACGGCAGAACTGGACCCCAGCAACCTTCGGCCCAGGTGAGGTTAGTGGGAGAAAGGGGAGGCCAGTCGGCTGTTTTGTGGGGTCCAACAAGGATCTAATTACTTATGTTAGGAGGGGATTAATTAGGAAAGGAATTTCTTAATTTAAATTCAAATAAGAGAGGGAATTAATTAAGACAGTAAGGTTAAATTAGGAGTGAAATATATTAGGAAAAGGGGTTGTTTTAGGAGAGGTGGGAGAGTTTGTTTAAGGCAAAGTTTAAGGTTTATTTTGTTTTATGCAGACTTTGAGTTGTGTTTGTTGGAATTTTTTTTTGTGAGGGCTTCCTAGTGGCATCTAGGTTTAGCAGGAGAGACGATATACCTCTCTTATTTGTAGGTCATTGTATCTTACTTTTGTATTGGAGTATTAATACATAAATCGTCCCTTGTTTCTCAATTTACCGCTGTTTTTGTTGTGTCATCTCGCTGTTTTCACCTTATGGCTTATCAAATTGGTATCAGAGCCATGTCCTAAACCAAAATCACTTGTTTTCTCGCTGATTTCGATGGTAGATTTCCTTCCCATTTCTTACTTTGTTGTTTGAAGACTACCGTCGCTGTTTTTTTACTGTTTTTGGAGGATTCGAATCGAGATCCGTTAAATAGCAGCAAATAAGATGGATGAGTTGGAAGGCGAGATGAAACAACTTAAGGACGAAGTAGAGGAAAAATATTCCGATGTGAAAGGAAGACTCTCAGTTTGGAAACTTTGAAGAGATGATGAAAAAGATGCTTGAGATGCAGTCGAAAGATTCATCGACTATCCCTAGGGTTGAACCAAGGGGAAAAGAAATTCCGGGGGATGGCGAGGAAGTGGAAAGATTGTACTCTCAAGGACCGCGGCAGGGGGCTCCTGGATCGTGGTTTCCAGATGAAAGGGGAGCAGGAAAGGAGGAGGTCAAAACCTTTGGGAGACCACCCAGGCATGGTGGGAGGTGGACCAGAGGAGGTAGTGGTTGGTTGATACATAATTAATTCATGCAAAAACTTAAAAGAGTTTCATATTCAAACTATTTATACAATCCTCAAATATCTTAAATCAAGTCTTGAGAAATGAATCCTCTATAAAAATAAGATACTTTATAAATTGAAGGGTATGGTGATACATACTATGCATAATCATTAATTGATAGAAGATCCACAACTTTATATTTTGCATTTTGAGAGGAAATCTCATAACATAAATTATTGTGGCAAGATGTAGCGCTAGGTATGAATCTAGAGCTATTGCTTAAGAAATTTATGAGGAATCAAAATCATTTTGAAAAATATAAAAATCAAATGAGGTGGGCCAATAAATATATACATGTGATGATAAATTTATCATCAACATTGCTTATAATTTAGTTTAACATGATTGTACCAAACATGTGAAGTGGATCAATATTTAATAAAAAAGAAATTAAAGTTGGGTTAATTTGTACTCCACATATGCTAATAGGAAATCTATTCACAGACATTCTCACCAAAAGATTATGTGATCCCACATTTAAAAATATTTTAAGCAAATTTGGAATGGTGGATTTATATAATTTAGTTGAGGGGGAGTGTTGCAGAATCATGGGACTCACAAGTCAACTAATCTTTATAGGGATCCTTTAGCATACGGATTAAGGTTACTATCATTAGATTGATTTTCTTACGGTCCTTTGATTGCAATTCATGTGTATTTTCTTTCTACTCTAGCCATTGGCCACAGTTGGGGAATTTTTTTTCTTTTTTCTTTTAAATAGTTTTGTAAGCTTTTTGGAGAAGTCTATAAATTCTTTCACATTTTATAACCTTTCTACAAAATTCTCCATATATAAAATGATACAAGCCTACATGCATCCTTGGGATTATTTTATGCATGAAGATCGAGAAGGCTGTCCAGTGAGGAACACCATACAAGTAGGGACTCAATTCCTATGTATCTTAATTTGTGCTCTTTGATGTATGATCTCAATTGTTCTTTATGAATTGATCCTATGTTACACTTATAGATATGTTGCCATGCGGGTAATACTAAAATAAAAATTAATCAAAATAACACACTTATGATCCATTACTTTGGCATAAATGCATAATGTTTTAATAAAACTTTATTTTTCAGTGCAATTATTTTGTTTTGTTTGACTGAACAGGTAAATCCTTAGGGGTGGACGCAATTTTGTTTGATGTCAAACCTAGCTTTGTTTGGAACCGAACTGAATCAAAATAAATTCTAAAATTAGAAATTGAAACCAAACTTTTAAAATGGAGCCAAATTGAACTGAGCCAATCATGTCGATTCAGTTTGACTTAGCTTTTGGTTTTGACTAGTGAACGTATGCTCACGTGTTTGATACGTAAATAATATATGAGAGGAAATTACTTTCTATTTCCCAAGCATTCCACCACTAGATTAATACCAAAATATAAATAAAAGTAAATGAATGGTGATGGATGACTCAGATGTTTGTATAAAATAGATGAATGGTTGAGATATGATGCTGAAAATTACCCTAAATCAATTACATATTTTCTAAACTGATTTGATTCGGTTTGACAAAAGCTTAAACATGATTTAAACCATATATGATCACTTAATCAAAATCTGATATTTAGATCAAACTATGTGCACTAAATTCTTATGTGATTTTTTTTTTTTTGTTTTTTTCTGTCCATCTTAGTTACCTTAGTACTTCATCCTTGGCTCAGTCCTCGTCTTGTTTATTTCCTATATTTTATATTAAATTTTATAATATAATATTTGAAGCAACTGATTATCTGGTTTGAATAGAGTGAGAGGGCCTTCAGCTTGTTTGAGATATAAGTTTCGTTTGGGACAACTTTCTTACTGTTTCTTATAACAACTTTTTAGTATAAAATTTAAATTTTTTGTACTAAAAACCTGTGTTTAGAAAGCAGTAAGAAAGCCGTCCCAAACTAAACCATAGTCACTGCTTTTGCATCTTGGAACTCCTATCTATACCATTTCTCATCATCTTTTCCTTTTCCCCTATAATTTCTCAAAATAATATTTTCATGAGATGTTATTAAGAGCTAAGGGATATTTAGGTATCACGGTCAGGTTCTGTGCCACCAAGCACGAGAGATGCGCTGTACCAAAACCTTCCCCCAGCAATAAAGTCTACACTGCGCTGGAGGCTGCAAGAATTTCAGCTCAATGAAAAGGTACAGAATATCATCCCTCACCATATCTTAAAGTGAGAACAACTCTATCAACTCTGATGATCATTGTGGCTTAGCTTAAATAAAATTATGTTTATGAAATCATCAAAATCAGAAGCCAGTCTGAGTGTATCTTTTTAACTCAGGTTTTTCCATTTTTTTAATTGCAGCCACCCGCTTCTCTAATCAAGGCTGAAATGGAGAAAACATTGCAATGGCTGGCCCCAATGGCCAATAACACTACCAAGTGAGATACTTTCAGTTGTTTTTTTAAACCCTTCATTTGAAAAGGTGCACAAACTTCTTTCGTTCATGTAAAATGAAAATGAAACTTGGGATGGCTCATATTTTTTCAAAATTATTTTATATCAACCAATACTCCTTCAACACAATTCATCACATTGTATAAAAACAGCAGCAAGCAGCAGCTCTGATTATTTAAAAGCAAACTGAATGTCCTATATAGTAGTTTAATTTTGTTTTTTCCCTCTTCCCTTTGAAGCATCACTTGCTAGTTTTCGATTAGCAAAACTGAATAATCTTGTCTAGGTAAAAGACCGAGACCTTGTTTGATTCAGTTTTTTTTTTGCCTTTTCAGTTTTGAAAAGGTGTAATTATTCTTTTGTGGCTGTTTGTATGTGACGCTTCTCTAAAAGGACTTTTTACATAACTTCATTTTTCTACTATTTTGAGAAGCTTTTTTATATTGATTTCTCCATTACAAAACTCCATTCCCTCAACCAACATTTTTAAAACCAACTTTTACAAAAAGTAGTGGATAACCAAACGAAGCCTGATTGTCATTTAAAACGTCATTTGAAAGCTATTTTGCTCAGATAGATACCCCATATATTTGAAGCCTATTTACTACTTTCAAGGTTCTTTGGAATCACTGAAGATTTTTCATTGATATTAATAACTTCGCTTTAACTGCTTGCAATTGCTGTGTGGAATGATCAGAGCGCACCATGGCTTTGGCTGGGTTGGAGAATGGGCGTGCATAGGGTCAGTCAGTCTTCTTCAAATAGCTCAATTCTCCTTATCTTATTCTCCCAGATCAATGGAATTCACTTAAGGTTAATCTTATTGCAGAACTGAGGCGGGTCAGAAGCCAGCAGGTCCTACCAGTTTGATAAGGATAGAGACGCTGTATCATGCCGACAAGGAGAAAACTGAAGCCTACATTTTTGAATTGATAGTTTTTCTCCACCACTTCATAAGCCAATTAAGACCAGGAAGATGCTTTACCTTCTCTCGATCACCAGTAAAATCTCTGATCCGCTTTCCTTCGCAGAAGATCTCATCGTCAGCTCCTTTGCCTAGCTCCTCTTCTTCATCATTGCTCACACTGGAAGACAAAGAGATGCTAAGAGGGCTCAAGTTCCACGAGGCTTCTCCAGGGATAAGCAAAAGCCAGGAGTTTGAGATTAGGCGGCCAAGGCTGAGCAAAAACCATAGATTGAGCAAGAGCAGCAACCATTCTCCAACGGCAGAGAGCAAGCATGAATCAAGGAAGACGCCATTGTTTCCTGTCATCGATTTTGATATCGATCTTAATACAACTTTGGATGTGATTGATAGGGTGGATGGACTATGATGGAATTATGAATAACTTGATTTGGATGCTTCATTGATAGTGGAGAGAATAAGCTTCCAGAATATATAGTTCTATTCTGATTAGAAGAAGCTGCTAATTAGAAGAAAAAATAGGGTCAGGCATTGAATAAAATTTGATCAGGTTGAATTTTATTTTTGTCAGATTTATTTTGGAATGGGCATAATGTAAGTTTTGATGGATCAATCTATGTTATACTATTCCAAAATAAATTTAATGATAATATGAATCATCTTCATCAAATTTTTGATTAGTATATATATTCTGACATGAAAATTTTCCATTGATTATGATTATTACCTTTCAACCTAAGGAATTTTTATTTTTTTTGCTGTGTTGGGTGTAAATTGAGTTGATTGGAGGTAAGAAGTTATCTCCAGTATTTTATTCACAGCAAAGTTGGTGTATTATTTCATTCCAAGCCTACTTCAGTACTTCTAGCCTAATCTTTCTAAATTTTGGTGCAAAGGTGAATTTGCCCAATATATTCTTTGCAAGGTACTTTTTTTTTTTGGACTTGCATTTTGTCTAATCAAAAAGAGCATACATACTACTTAAACATACACAAAAATATCATCAAACTCCTTTTCAGTGAAACAAAAAATTCATACAAAATTTTCATCTATTGCTACTTGAGCACAAAAATGGAGAAATTATTTGGGGATTGGATGTAGAACGTCGTTTGGAGACCAACTAAAATGCGTCATATTAGCGGTATCGAGACGCGGTACCGAACATTATTGAGCCATGATACTGAGCATATGGGTGATGTGACGCTTTCTGGTTAGTCTTTTGATAGCATTCGGTGTACGCACAATAATTTTTCACAAAAATGGACCACCTTGTTAGTAGATCTATGCTCATGGTGGAAGTAACATTGTTTTTTTTTTTTTTTAATGTTTCATTAGCTATAGTGTTTTTAACGTTTTTTTTTTTTTGCATTTAGGCCAATTAAGGCAAACTCACACACACAACGCATACACATAGACTCGAACCTTGGACCTCTTAGTTGGAAGCCTAAGCTCTCAACCAATAGGCCAAGGAGAGTTGTGTGTTTTTAACGTTTCATTTGAGATAGCTTTCTTATTACTTTCTAAAATAGCTTTTTATCAAAATATTTTTGTTCAAAAAATTTGTACTAAAAAATTACATTAAAAAGTAATAAGAAAATCATCTCAATTAGAGTTTTGCTATCACCATTTATGATTATGCCCTTAATTTCATACATCCAAGGCTGAATAATCTCAATAAAAGTACTACCCCAATGCTCCATAGTTTGACCAGATGCTTAAAATAGCTCTATCAATGTGGCTCTGTAATTTGCAGCTCATTTTGATATGTTGGTCAAGTATTTTTGGCTATCAATCAAGAGGTCTTGAATTTGAGTTTTGCATATATGTTATGTGTGTGAGTTTGTCTTAATTGACCTAAATGTTCCAAAAAAATAAATAGATCTGTAATGATTTGAATGACATATTTGTTTTAATTTTATTGTGCATTAGGGTAAAGTTTGAAAAAATTCAGTAATGAAACTCCTCAAAAACTCAAATTTGTTCTTTTCTAGCTACCAATTAATAAAAAATAGAAGTTAGAGAGAGAAACATAGAAGTGGATGGTGAGAGAGAACTTGTCTAAAAAATTTGCTCTTCCTCAAAAAAATGAAAAAATTTGAGTTGGGATAATCTAATCCAATTTTATTCATTTTGATTTTAAAATCATTAAATTTATTTTATGATAAATATATAATAATTTTTAATATCTATTTATTAGACTAATTTAATAGCTAATTCTACTTTAAGATCAAATTTTGAAAATATTTTGACTCAATTATCTCTAAAAGCGATTGCTTTCTTTATTAGTGAGGGTTCTTTATGACAATGATCTCCAAACTTTGGTCAACCTTACTAAATAATACTAAATAATAACATAATGATGGAGACATTCGAAATAGTTATCAAAGATCTTGCAAAGTATTTGAATGCTGTTATTACCTACTAAAATGCCAAGTAATTTTCTTTGAATCCAATCCAAATATATTATATTAAAATAAATATATTTTATTTAAATATCATATAAGTATTCAAATAAATATATTATATTTGCTGATATGCAAGAGTCCCTATACTCTTTTTATCATTTAAGTTCCATTTTAAACAGCTTTTTTACTATTTTGTTTTTCAAATAACAATCATAATTTTTATTTGGCTGTCATTTTCAATAATTTTTTTTGTTAAAAAATTACTTTCTTTTAAAAATTATTTCTCCACAACAGTTTTATAATCACCTTTATAAAAAATTACAGACCTTTCGTTGTGATCTTGAGAAGGATAAGAGGGATAGTATGGGGGGTCCATATATCTAAATCATCTTGCACAATGAATTGGTGTAACACTTAATTCTCCTTAATATGTTGGTTGGGAGCTCTGGCAGCTAACTAAAAGATTTTGAATTTAAGTCTTATATATGTGATGCGTATATGAATTTTTCTAAATAAAATGGTGTAGCAGCTTATTTTGATTTAGGCTTTCTTTGGAACTAATTTTCCTAGTATTTTCTAAAATAATTTTTAGTACAAAATTTTTTAATTTAAAAATATTTATATTAAAAAATTATTTTAAGAAGCAACAAAAAAATGGTCCTAAACAAAGCCTTAATCATTATGCCTTCTCCCTCTTTACTTATGTGTTTTTTTATTTATATTTAGGCCAATTAAGACTAATTCATGCACACATTTTATACACAATACTCAAAATCAGGACCTTCTGGCCGATAGCCAAAGCTTCCAATCAATAAATCAAAATATGCTTCATCTAATGTGCACTTTTCTTATATTTATTAAATCATATTTGATAATAAATGAATAATATCATTAGATCATACATTTTCCTTGATTACATGAATTTTACGATCGATATATTGATTGCAAAGGCTACCGTATACCATAGTCGTAAATGATATTTATGATTATTAATTCGCGATCACAAAGTTATTATGTGTGGTATAAATCTTACTCTCTTAGATATTCTATTCTTACTTGGATGGCCATTTTGCAGAAACTGAAAGTGGCTGATTTGTTAATCAAAAAATTTATCCAGGTCAATCTGGTTTGCTGTTTTTGCAACAATGCCCAGGAAGATCACAACCATCTTTTCTTTAACTGTGATTTTACTTTTAATGTCATTAACAAGCTAATTCCTGAATTAAACTCTTTCTTACTTAGACCGAATTTGATTCAGGTATTTGATTACATGGATAACCAGCTGCTTATGTCCAAATGGGAAAAGAATTTCTGCTGGCTTACTATTGGCTGCACTGTGTATCATCTTTTGAGAGAAAGAAATAATCGCAAATTTGATAACAAATGGAATACTTTGGAGTACATTATCATTTCTATAAAAAATGCTATTCGGGTCAAGACTTGTACCTGGAAGCATTATCAACATCTTCTTGAAAAATTTCAATTCTACTGAAGTTTTGGTCTTCCCTCTGTCTGGCTGGAGCGGGAGATCACCCGATGCTGCTTGATTACTTTGCTGTTCTTGCTGTGTAGCTTCTGTTTTATTAGTGTTTTTCTGATCTGTAGTGGTTATGTCTTTGTTTTATTTTGCTCTTTGTGAGGTTTTCTGCTTGAGTTGATCATTTGTCTTAGTATTGTCTTTACTTTCCTGTAAGTCTTGTTTTATTGTACCTTTTTTATCTTAATAAAATGGGCTTTGCCCCGATTCTTCCCAAAAAAAGCTGCTATCTATTTCTGACCGGATAAGCTTAAAAGTAAGGCTAATATGAGATTGGATACAATCGCAAAGATATTCGATATTAAATGTTTAATAGCACACAAATAAACTGCGCTCGCTTTGAAATCCCTTACAATAACATAATTTGTACTTTCCTTCGTTAAATATGCATTAGATAGACGTTATATTCGACGACGGCGACGTCGCGACTAAACGAGTGAGTCCTGGCCTCCGCGTATCCCCTGGCAAAGCGAAAGGCTCCGCTGCCACCAATCACCGGCATTTCCCTCACCGGATAAAAGGGCTGGTTTCTGCCAAGCACGGAGAGCACGCTTCCGTTATACTCACCGGCAGTGAAGGCTAGATTCATGGCCATGAGGAGGCTCAACTCGTTTTGGTCCGCTGCCGCGTAGAAGCCCTGGGCCCGGCCTACGAGCCTCGACTTGGGGTCCGGAGCTTCGGTCAGTGGGTCGTCCATTACGGTTATCATGCCGAAGGCCGCCGGCGAGGCCACGGCGGGCTTCGTGACGCGAACGTCGGTGCGGTTGCGGCCTCTGATGATATCGTGGAAGTAGAAGCGGATGTGGGTTAGCTTATCGCTGGGATTTGGGTTCGCTGAATTGGATTTACTGAGTAGGAGAACGAGAAGGAGAAGAAGAAGATGGCGTTTGCTTATGGAGATAGGCATTGTGGTCGAGTGGAGTTAGGAGGAAATGAACGTTGCGTTGTGTGAGTGGGAGTGCTTCTCTATTTATTATTTAACAAAGAGAGTGAGTGCAATACACAATTTTTGAGATTTTGTTGAGAAGTCGGGGATGTTTTGGTAATTGCGATCAGGTTAATAACGTAAACTCTACACTTTAAAAGCTGAAACATTTATGATGTGGACAAGAAGATTCGGATTGAATTTTTTAGGCTTTCGTCTCAGTCTATCTTTCGTGCTGTTCCAGTTTATTAGACGTTTGTCTCCCCTCAAAAATAAATATTAAAGTATCTCGGAGTAGTTCGACAGAGGTGTGGCAGGTGAGGTCCTCGGAGGCCAAGAGACGGCAAAGTCGGAGGGCCTGCCGGAGGTGGAGCGGCGACGGCTGAGGTTGACGGGATGAGAGCAAGGGACAAGCCGTCCGGGGAAGAAGGATGGGCGTAAGTCCCAGAGCGTGAGTAGGCTTGGGACAAAGTGCCAGCTTGGGAGGACGGACAAAGTATGAGCTTTGAGTGGAGAAGATACAATTCCCAAAAAAAAAAAAATAGTGGAGAAGATAGAGCATGGGGCCATGGGCGAGTGGCGTGAGAAGCCAGTCAAAAATGTCACAGAAAAGATGATGGGGCTAAGGAAAAGTATGGCTACACAAATAGCATAAAAAAAAAAGTTTTTAAAAGAGTAAGATGTGGGTTTGAAAGAAAAAGGATGAGAGAGAAATTTTTTATAATATTATTGATATATCATAAAAAATTTATCTTGTTCGGGCACGAATCTCAAGGCAAAAATTATGTTGGAAACTTCAACAATTAAATCTGAAATCATTTGTACTCCGATTTCAGCAGACGTATAGTCAAACTGAAAGTCTCGAAAAAACGAACACAACGACATCAAATTCAACTCAATTCGAGCCCAAACGAGTCTATATCAAAGACCCTAACCGCATTTCTAAGGTTCAACTCATAATTTGGATTGCCAAACAGTTTTCAAATATGGTGTGCTTATAGTCAAATCGAGCGGCTCAACGAGATGAATCCAATGTACCCAAGATCGCCAAATTCTGATCTCATTAAGACATTTCAATACTCAATAAACGGTCCATGATTAAGAGATTCAACACCGGCCGTCCATTCAAACCACTCTCAATTTACCCTTGATCTTCCTCTTATTTACTGGCCATGCCACTCTAAAAAATTATAAATAAACCCATTATTTTTTATGAGAGGGGGCCCAAGCAAGAAGAGAAGGAAGCAAGGAAGCAATAAAAGAAGGAAGAAAAGAAAGAGACTCATCCTCGACCACCGTCAGACTTACATCGAGCGGCTGACCGACGCCGTAGTTTTGTTTGGTTGCCAATTGACGTTGGAATTAAGCAATAAGGAAAGAAGAAAAGGAGGAAAAGGAAGAGAATGAAGAAACTCATCTTCGACCACCACCGGACTTTCAACCGGCAACTGACCAACGTCGGAGTTCTGCCCAATCGCCAACTGTCACTGGCAATATTCTGCCCGACCATCATCTGGCGCCGAAGTTTTGTGTGAGAGCTCATTTCTTTGATTTGCCTCTCAGATTTGATTTTTCCTCCCAGGATCGTCCGGGACGATATTGAGATCGTCCAGGACGATCAGTACAGTGAAACAACTGATTTTTCTGGAATGGGATCGTCCAGGCCGATTTTGGATCGTCCTGGGACGATCAGATGAGACAAAAATCCTGAGAGCAAAACTGAAATTATCGGCATGAGGAATCGTCCGGGCCGATTGGATTTTGTTCTGTGATCGGCCAGGACGATGTGGAGATCGGCCGGGCCGATCAGACTAATGTTATAAGGAAATCAGCTCGTTTTGAGGAGAGAGAAAATTATTTTATAAAAACGAAAATATCTGAGGAGAGAGAAAGAGAAGAAAAACAAAGGAAAAGTTCATTTTCAGAGGCCGCGGAGCGCTTTTCGTCTGACGCCGCTGTTGGGAAAAGTGTTTATCTCATGGTAAGGACTCCGAATCCTATTTCTGTTTTCAGAGATATT